AAAGCACAGTCGTGCTTACGATTTGAGATTCAATTCGGATCCAAAGCATGGAATGCAGAGAAATACTACTTGACTTATGATCATACCCACAAATGGGCCCGCGACTTACCAATTTGCAGTGCAGATCGTTTTTTTTTTTTTTTTCTTCTATAAAAAGTTGGTGCACTACCTGGACCCAGAGACCATCGAGGAGTCGACTACAGGCGTCTTTCAATGGATCGCCAAAGTGTATCAAAACATATTGATAGACAGTATTGCGGAGCTCCGTGACTTTACAAAAGATGCTAGCCATCAGAAACATCCCGCACTCCAAACGTTGCGTGATCTATTTACACACTGCATCAAAACATTAGGCAATCCAGGCTTCCCCGTATGGACGGAGCTGGTGGAAACACCTGCCGCGCCACGTGACCCAGGCGCGGAGCAGGACATTCCCCAGGACCCAGGCAGCATTGCATCCGCAGCTCCTGATCAAGAAACCATGGTACGGATCATAGCCGAGCAGACGGGAGTCAACCGCGAGGAGGGCGACAACGAGTCCGCCTTGCAGGAGGAGGCTCGCCGTCTCCGTACTGAAAACGTATGCCATGGTGATACTGAAGATGCGGACAACGACACGACAGAGCACATAGGACTGCCAGGGGAAAGATTGTCTAGGATCGAGATCGAGGGATTGAGTAGATCAATCGCTTCCCGACCGGATGCTGAGATCAACCGCGAGGCCATGGATCAGATCGGCCGCAGTCTTGCTCGTGGTCGGGATACTCGCTGGGGATCTCGTGAGCACCTCACGACTGAGGGAGCCCCAGAAACGATCCAGCATGATATCGCGCGATGTCGGAATTGCGGTCGTAACTTATCCCTTGGGATCGTTACAGGTGATGGTGCCCTTTGTGACATCTGCTGGCAGTACACCGTAGCAGTAGGTGCTACGGGTAAAAGTATAGCCGTCCAGAGCGACCTAGCATACCTCCACAAGCTGACCAATTGGATCAAAATGACGCTCTCCCAGGATGACATCACGAGGTACATGAGAGACGGAGCTCAAGTCATCATGACGGGCGCGCGCTCATTTCCAGGTAATGAGAAAGACCCGCTGGGGAGAATTGCTAATTCCTCTAGGAAGAGGTATCAGAAGTGGGTCGACTCTGGCCGCCCTCCTGCACACGAGTGTAGACTGATGGGCGAGGCTGAAGACGACAGACCTCTGTACTATACATATGCCAATCTCGTTCAGCGTTTTCTCAATGATTTGAAGTTCCACCACCAAATGACAGGCGCTCGCGTGAACGTGGACAAGAAGGCCTGGAACGTGGACGACATGCGTGATGCATGTACGATCCTCGACACCAGCATCAGGACAGGCCAAGCTGGTCGGAAGAAATGGTGGTTGAACGAGGGCAGACTCGACAGACAAACGCGGCAAGCTCGCGGACTTATCGCGATTGCCCTCCCCAGAGGGGATGGCACTCGTGAGAAAGTCACGCAGCGCAAGCTTGCTGCGATTGCTAACGAGTTGTTGGGCTCCCTCGATCCGACACACACCGACCAGAGGGGGTTTGATTCAGGGATGAGAACCGATCCGATCGAACCTGATACGCACTCCCATCAGTCTGATGATGCCATGGAGCCGCGCCATCCGCCGCCGCCGCGCCCTGCCCCTGGCGATGCTGCACAGTCCAGCGCCCCTGGCGCGGCGGACCACATGCCCGTGGGGCCGCGCGGCACTGCAGCGCAGCAGCAGGACAGCGATGACAGTTACAGACCTCGTGCCAAGAGAGCGCGCACGACAGACTACGCCGCCTGGTGGCGCGACGACCTTGAGGACAGTCATTGGGGCCTCAGGTATTGGAGCTACTACATCAACTGCTGGATTTACATTGCGCTCAATAACGACGAGTTCATATACATCCGCGACATCCAGTACAACAAGTGGCTTCGTCACTGGATCCCGAGGACATCTTGGGAGACGTTCACGACGAGCTACGCGACGTACGATGGCCACAGGATGTGGGACCGCAGGTTCTACCAGAACGGCAGCGCGTAGCGAGTCGGCCGCAAGGCCCACCGCTCGAAAGGCTTGAACTTCATTATAATACAAGTTCGCCATGAGCGGTGGCTATTATATACTTCTAGGCCACTTCACTATACAACACAAGTGGCCACACACAAAAACATTTTTTGCGACAACCAAGGCAGCCTCCTAAGGAGCAACGCCAACGGGAGTCGCCATATAGAATTTACATACATGCAACTTTCGTGTTTGTCAGCACGACCTTTCGTCTGGCCAGACATTTGCTTTGATATATAGTTGCGCTTCGTAGCACGATCGTGCTCATCAACACGATCTCAGCATGCATATTCATTAGAGTATAACTCCATTGCGTTGATAATGATCTGACAGCTGGTGGCAACACCTGCCTCGCAAAGGCGAGGCAGATTACAAGTTGCTTTAACTTGCTCAGATCCTCTTTCTCCGCCCACCCGTGTCTCATTCTTCTCCGCCCTCGAGTGCCGAAGCGTTTTGGGGGGCGCACCGAGGGGGCACCAAAGCGTGCTTGGCGAAGAAATCGGGACCCAGGGTGTTCCTTCTTACCTCACTTTGCAGCTGAGGCTCTACTGACTTTGAGCTCAGCTGCCTGCAGACCTGAGGATTGACGGAGTAAAAGGGTGACGGATTATTTTCCTCTGTTCCCGAGTCCTACCCTCGCGGGCGGGATTCGGGACGGGGGGTGTGAATAGAACCCGTGTAATACCTTCATATATACTCCTTATCCTCACCTCTCCTGCACCTGGCCGTTTGGGCTCAGGTATTGGGACAGATCGATCAGACTTTTGATCGTGCAGGAGGGAAAGACATCCATCTATCCCTCCTTCCCTCTACCAACGGATCAGGGGTTCTGTACCCTTGTACTTCAACCCCATACACAGTTACATTTATATCTCTATATATACATATACATATATATATATATATATATATATATATATATATGTGTATGTATGTATACATATATACAGCGGGGCGGTTCGCAGTGCGAGCCCGAGTGGGGCCGGGGCGCATGCGCGGGCGAGGGGGGGCGGGCCGCTCGGACAGCGCGGCCTCGCGCAGCCGCATGCGCGCGACGCGGGAGGGGGCCTCTGGGGCGGGCCCCGCCGGCCGGCCACCGCGGGCGGATGCGCAGCGGCGCAGCGCTGGCACAGTGGAAATTGCCCCCGGCATCTCTGGCTCTGGACGCGCGCCGTCGCGCTGCACAAGCGTGCTCTTCGGCTTCGAAAGCAGTCGGAACAGCGGTTGGCGACTCCACTTAGGCAGGCGCAGGTCCGGGCGCGATCGGGGTCGAGCGGGCGGCGCGGGGGGTCTCGGGCCCCCGGTCGCGCCGCCCGCAGTCGTCGGCGACGGCGTCAACTCGAATTTGACGGCAAGCGCCTGGGCCCGCAAACTTGCACGGGGTCTCCAGGACTTGGCCGGGGGCGAGGGGGGGGGTCGGTGAGCTCTGAGGGGTCGGAAGATCCCGCGCGGGTCGAGGACGGAGAGGGGGGGGGCGCGCCGACATCTGTTTACAGTGACAACAGGCGAATGCCTCGCCGAAGGCGCCTTGGATCGGGAAGTGAACGCGCGAAGAGAGACGGACTGCATCGTGTAATTCGCGCAATTCAGATGCACGGTCTGTCCCGTTGTTGGCGGGGCGACGCGCGAGACAGTCATGAGTTTGAAGGCTTTCTGGAACCAGTCTAGATGCCGCGCCGCATTCCCGATATTTCCCCGCGGTGCAATTGAGCCGCCTGACAGGCGCTGTCCAGCATGATCCGTCGCTGTCGTGTCCGAGACCGTCGAGGAGCTGGAGCGTCGCCTCTGCTCGCGCGACCCCGCCCCGCCGCTCGGGAATTTCGGTGAAACTGCGCGCGATCGCGATCGCCGCCTGGCCCCCGCAGCTGGCGGACAGCAAGAAGGGGGCGCGTCGGTAGGCGCGCGCTGAAAGAGGAGCGAAATGGACGGAGGCGAGGGCGGGGGAGGCGACGGGCGCAAGGTGACCGCGCCCAGGAGGAGGCAGTGGAGGCGGAACAAAGATAAGCCGAAGGTAGTGACGATGGCGGCTGCATGCATGAAAGCCAGGTTGCTAGTGACGCTCGCGCAGTAGATCATGAAGTCGAAGGCGCTGCGGGAGATCACGGGCTAACTTCGCGATGCCTTTCTCGTTGGCGCTAGACGCAAGTGCGCGTCGGCAACGCAGGCGGCGGAGGCGCCGCGCGCTTCCACGCGGTGGGAGAAAGGCAGGGGCTGGGCCCGCCAGTTCGAGCTGTATTCGCATATTTGATGACAGCTGTGACGGAGGGGGAGATCGGCGCTCGTAACCGCGAGGGCCTCGAGGCGGTGATGCAGCAGTTCAGCGGAGCGGACCGCTGGGCCATGATCCAGCTGCGCTGCGTCTGTTTGTTTGAGCGGTGCTGCGACGAAGGTCGCATCAAAATTGTGGTGGCGCTAGGGTCCCCCGACCTGAAGAATCTGCTCCGCTTGTCGTTCGAGCAGGTCGGGGCGGTGACGATGCTGGGACAGGCGCCGCTGGGATACTAGGAGGAGGGATGGGGAGCGCGCGTGGACATGCTTAACGGAGCGTGAGGCGCCCCGCCAGCACCCCGAGCAGGGGGAGTGAGGAGGGTAAGGGAGGTCAGCGTTCTCTTGAGAGTTTCGGTTTTCGGGCGGCTCCCTGACTAAGAGGATGGCCGCGGGAGTATCGTTCTTAGTTCGTCGGGGGGCGGGCTGTTTTTGGAAAGTGGTTGGGAACGCGTCTGTGGGGCGTGACAGCCAGGCGTTCGCGAATAGAGTTGGCTGTTCGTTACGTATGTTTCACTGTCTTGCGAGTTAAGCATCGTGAAGTGGTCTTCTAGGCTGTGAAAAGAGAAATAGATGTCTCATCCCGTGTGTCTGCTGTACTATCTCCTTCGTTCCCCTGCTCCTCTCCCCAGATTGACAGGAGGCATAGCAGCCGCGTTGCCAGGTCGTGACGGAGGGCGACTTCCTCACCCTGTTCGTGCCGGGCGGCGGATGGAGGAGGATGGCGACGACGAATAAAGTGTGAAGGAGGAGCAGGCGGAGATTGACGGAAGCGGCGGAGCAAGAGGAGAAAGATGATATTAACGACGACGACGATGGTGGTGGCGTCGACGACGATGCTGGAGGAGGGAACGGCGAAGAGGCCTGCAACAAGTATGGTGGCCCACCCTCTTGCCGCTTTCTCTTCAGAGCCCTTTGTTTCCTCTGCCTCCCCCTTTCCCCCTTCGCTCGTATCGGCAGCGGTGGGCCGGGCTCCTGATTCCCGATCGATGTTTCCGATGCCCCCCGCGGGGGGTGGGACGCTCTGCGAAGCTTGTGTTCTTGCTTTCCCTTTCCGATTGCCTTCCCCCCTCCTTCCTCGCTCCCCCTGCCGCCGTCCCCCCCCCACCAGAGAGTCGGGAACCGGGAAGCTTGTTGCCCCTCGGTGTCCAGGGCGGGCGGCCTGTGCGGCCGAGGGACGAGAAAGATCGTGCAAGGGTCGTGGTGCGCAGCCGTGCGTTTTGCATCCGCTGGCGCCTGGGGCAGCAGCGGGTAGCGATGACGACGACGACGAGCAGCGCTGGGCGCAGGTCGTTGTGGTCCACCATCGCGTCGAATTAGGGGTCGGGTGGCAGGGTCGGGCGCGTTTTTGTTTCGAAGTTTCGATTGCGTCTCGCTCGGTGCAGGAGGACGACGACGAAGACGACGAGGAGCCAGATTCGGCGGCGAGCCTGGGGGGAAGTGCGAAAGGCTGGGAAGACCTGGGGCCTTCTGAGACGTTTTATAAGCCTTCCCCGAAGGCAAACAACTTCTCAGACGGCCGTATGGCTTCTGAGAAGTCCCGCCGCCTTCTGAGAAGGCCTGCCTCTTCTCACTTCCCCCCAGGCTCGCCGCCTAGTTTCGCTCGGTGCAGGAGGACGACGAAGACGACGAGGAGCCAGGTGCCGTGCGACGTCAATGACCCCGCTGCGCTGGAGTTCCAGGCCGGTTTCCGGAACGCTTGGATGAACCTCCACAGCGACCCAGAGGGCAGCATGGCATCCCCTGTGGGATCCGCCAACGCTCGCAGCTGGGAGTTCGGAGGAGATGACTTCGCGGAGGCCAGCGGGGGTTGAAGGGGATGTGGGTGACGCGAACTGTCCGAAGCGGTGGAGGTTGAACTGGACAGGCCGAAGAAGCTGGAGCTTGGATGTATACGCAGCAGAGGCCACGACGGCGAAATGTGAGATACGGTCAGGGCCTTCCCGATCTCGGGTCAGTGGCCACAGGCCGAGGCATAGTGCCTTAGCGGGCCCGCCTCTATGATCAGTCGTGGACCTTCTCCATCTGGTATTGTGCTGGATCTGCTCTCCTTAGGCTCGTTTACTCGTGGTCACTGTATTATCGACCTCTCGGACGAAGGGATGTTGATGATGCTGATGATGGTGATGATGATGACCATGCTGATGGTGATGATGATGATAATGCTGATAATGATGATGACCATGCTGATGGTGATGATGTATGATGATGATGACGATGATGATGAATCTGATGATGAAGATGATGATGACGATGATGATGATGATGCTGGTGATGGTGATGGCGTTGATAATGCTGATGATGAGGATGAGGATGATGATGATGATTATTATTATGGTGATGCTGATGATGGTGATGATGATGCTGATGATGATAATTATGATGATGACGATGATGACGATGGTGACGATGATGATGATGATGATGCTGATGATGATGCTGATGCTGATGATGATGATGCTGATGATGATGCTGATGCTGATGATGATGATGATGATGATGGTGGTGGTGGTGGTGGTGGTGATGATGATGATGATGATGATGATGATGATGATGATGATGATGATGATGATGATGTTATTGAGGAGGAGGAGGAGGAGGAGGAGGAGGAGGAGGAGCAGGATGAGGAGGAGGCGGGGAGGAGGGACTACGGAGCGGAGCGTTGAAAGTGGGATGAGAAGGAGCAACAGGAGCAGGAACAGGAGCAGGAGCACGAGAGAGCAGCCGAAGAGAAGCGGACTCCGAGCTCGAAGCCGCCCTCGGCCCAGCGGCCAGTTGGCGCGCTCAGCGGCGCGCGCTGGACGAAGTTTACGATGCCGATCACGACGTTCAGGCAGACGGTCAGGCAGACGCCAGGCAGAAAGTGTGTTGGGACCGGCCTAGCGGCACTGCGCTGGAACATTCTGGAACCAGTCCGTGCCGAAGTTTTTCGGCCTCAGCTGCATTAACTTTGCGATGCCGCCAGGCAGACGCTGACGTTGACTCATTGACGATGCCGTCAGACAGACAGTCAGGCAGACTCCGCCAGCGGCCGCGCGGTGCCAGCGGCTCTCTTGCACGCTTTGGGCCGGAGCCCGCAGCCCAGGTGGTCCAGATAGACAGCTCCCGCGGGCGTCGGCCCATCTGGCGGGCACGGGCGTCTGAGCCCCTCGCCCAGCTGTCGCCCTCTAGGCACGCCAAAGGAGCCACACTTTTCGCAGAACCATCACTCGAGGCCGCGACCGAGTCGAAGCCGATGAGACGTGTCGACTTGAAGGCCCCCGATCTGCACTCGCACCTCGTCGGGCTCAGCCAGCGCATTGAGGGTCACGGTCAGCTGCTAGAGGCCGCAGCGCGGAGACTGCAGCCAAGCCGTCAAGGACGCGTCCGAACTCGAGCTTCGGCAGGTTCCTCAGCTGCGCTCGTCGGCCGCCAACTGGTGGGCCGAGGAGAAGGCCGCCACCATGCGCGGCCCACGGGCTGCCTGAATCGCCTTGGCCGCCTTGCGCCGTCGATGCCCTTCAGCAGCAGCAGCAGCAGCAGCAGCAGCAGCAGCAGCGTCCAGAGCGGCTCGGAGGAGCCTCCACCGCACTTGCATGGCAATCACCTCCACGGCCTTCACACGAGCGCGATCGTCGGCAGGGACCCGTGCCTCCTGGGTCGTCGGGTTGGCCAGCACGTCCGCCGCGGTGTTGCCCCGCAGCACCGGGTCCTCTCCATGGCCTTCTCGATTGTGAGGTGCGAGTTGACGAGCTCGACGCAGAAAACGGACCTGGACTTGCCGCGGAGCGCGCGCGCGACCCGATGCCAAAGGTCCGCATCTGGGCCGCAAGGCCGCTGATCCAATTGCTGCCGCCAGCCTTCGCAGACTCTGAGGTTATCCGGCCAGAACAACGCCACACCCTCAGAGGACTCGATCGCGAGCAGGAGCGCTCTCAGTTCTCCACGATGAACTGTCTGTCGTTCTCCTGTTTGGTGTCCCAGCAGCGCCGCGCCCAGCTCGACCGTGCTGCCGCAGATACTGCGACAGCAAGGCCAATTCTCCTCATTGTTGGAGACCGTGACTCGGGCCCCCCATTCGCGTCGCCGTGCAAGACCAGCAGCTTGCGGGGCGTGCCGCATTCAAAACAGAAGGACCCGTTGCAATATCCCACTGGCGTTCAGGACTCGCGCCCCGCAGACGGCGCCACGGCCGTCCACGAGGCTGGAATGTGTGTGTTTTGCCTTCAGTGTTCAGCACACTTTGTGTTCAAGCGGTAGCCCCGCTGGGGTCTTGGGTGGCTCTTGGTCCGTCTTGGCTTTCCCTTGCTTTTCTCTTTCTTTTCCCTCGTACGCCCTACCTTCCGCAAGGATCCCACGCTCGCCCGCGGCAGCATTTGTGGCTCGCGAGGCGGTGGGTAAAAAAGAGGAGGTCTGCCGACCGCGTTCCCTCCCCTCGCCGCGTTGTCGTTCCCATTGTTTGCGGTGTCATGTGTTCCCCAACAGTGCTTGCACTTAGGGGTTCTTGCTTCCGCTCTAAGAGATTAGGCTGGTGTGCCGCCATTGCGGCTATACGGCCGCCGTCGCCGCTTTGTCGCCGCCCGTCGTCTGGGCTGGTGCGCCGCTCTGGCGTTGCCGCCCCGTCGCCGCCTTGTTGCGGCCCGTCGTCTGGACCAGTGTGCCGCTCTGGCGGCTATGTAGTCACCGTCGCCGCCCCGTCGCCGCCTCGTCGCCGCCCGTCGTTGGGGCCTTGTTGCGCATTGCGGTGCACAGCTTGCATGGTTTCGCCTTGCTGCGCACTGCACATTGCACTGTTTTGCTGTGCATTGATTTGCGTTGCATTGCTTTGTTTTGCATTGCCACCCCGTGCCATGCATTGCGTTGTTTTGCACTGCACTGCACTGCATTGCAGTGCATTGCAATGCATTGCATTCCTTTCATTGCTTTGTTTTGCTACGCCGTGCTATGCATTGCTTTGCATCGCTTTGCATTGCTTTGCATTGCGTTGCGTTGCTTTGCACTGCTTCGCCGCGCTTAGGACTGCGTTGCTTTGCGATCCCTCTCTCCTCCCCCTCTGCTGCTTTGCGTGAGTGCGCATTCCTTTGCAGTGTTCTCGTGGCTTTTCAGGGTTTGCGTTGCTTTGCGCTGCTTGATGCGCCGCGTCAGTTTCACTACGTCGGTTCTCCAAAGGAATTGGGACCTACCCCACCCAGGGATTATCGATCCCCCAGGATGCTTCATTCACATTTGGCGCAGATAGAGCACCATCCCAAACTCGAATTTGATGCGGGGCGCACAGCGGGATGGAAAGGAGCGACCCAAACAAGACCCTCGAGCGGCCCAGAGACGGGCGCACTAAACTCCTGGAAACAATGCGCCTGCAAACGGGGCGCATGGACATGGTTGAAGACAAAGGAGTCCGCTCGGCCATGTCCGCCAGCGACTGGACTCAGAGAGGCCCGAGCAATACAGAGAATTCCCCGCGGCAGCACCCTGGGCGCGTGGAGAGCGAGGCAGTGGCGCCAGCTGACAAGCCGGGCGCCCGCAAGTTTTGCGAAGCACTCCCCCGTGGAGGCAAGTGCTCCAAACCGCGGTGCAACGAGAAGCGCGGGCCCATGTGCTTGCTGTAAATGGAGGGGCCAGCGCAACCTCGCGCGCGGGCAAAGGCGGAGAGAAGCCGCGGGCGCCCCTGGCAAAGGTGACCCCCCATTACGCTCGCCTTTAGAAGGCCGAGCTGGCCCTGGCGGCGACGCGCCCAGGGGGGGGGCGCTTTCCGAGGTCCCTGGAAATTCTCGCTGATTTCCCCCCCCCCCCTTCCCCCGCCCTTCTCCGTCTTCCGAAAGGGTGGAAAGGGCGTGGAAAGCGGGAGGGGCAGGGGTGGGGGCGGGTGCTGGCGCCCGCGCACGAGATTTCTTTCCCAGGCAAGCAGGCAACGTTCTGCAGAGCACCATGCGAGGTCGTTTCCCTATGCAGGAGGCCCCGTTTCCCCCCACACACAGGAGGGCGACCTTCTGCAAAGCACCTTGGAGTCGCTTTCTCATGCGGAAGGGAAGGCGCTCGCCGAGGTCTTTCTCCGACGCAGCGGGTTCAACCTTCCGCTTGGGGGCACAAGCTGCTACGGCGCGCCACGATGCCCGCGCCGCGCTACACCCGTCAAAATTGTAGCGCTGTGTAATTGATCTGCACTGGGGCCAGCGCCAAGGCCGAAGGTGTTGCTAGACGTGGGCTTGCGCGCCACGTGCTGGATCACCAAAGCACAGCATATGGCGTCGAAGCTTCCTTTTCTGCTCGCAGTGCCATCCCAGAGCTTTACGGTGTCTTGGCAGGCAAGCGGCTCGCATTCGCGCCCGACCCTACATCGAGGCCCCAGCTGACCGCAACGCGTCACCCCCGCGCCCGCGCCCGCCCCCGAGGGGGTGCCGCCCGCGGGCCCTTGCAGCCAGAGGCCGCGGTGGCAGCCCACGTGGGCCAACGGCCTTCCGCCGGACGAACACTCGTTGGACGGATGGGCAGCAGGGCAGCCTGGTGCTGAGAGGTCGGGCCTGTGCACCTCGAGCTCCTTGACTTCGTGTTTGGATTTCTCTTCTTGGTGTCGCATGATTCCTGTTGGTCCTCCCCGTCGTCTCAATCTTTCGCGCGTCTCGTCGCTCTCCCTTGCGCGGATGGGTGCGCCTTGAACTTGCTTTGTTTATCCACTATTCCTAACCCCCCCTGTGTTGGGTTTTCGGTTTGAATAGAAAACTGCCCGCGCGTTTCCCGCTCCCCGCCCTTCTCTTCTTTTCCATCCTGCCTGCCTCACACCGCGCCGTGCTACGTGACCCTACCATCCTTGGGCGATTGC